ATCCCTGGCATCAAAAAAAAAAAAAACCTCACCAAAACCCAACCAACCAACCAAACAAAAGAAATGCTACACATAAATGTTACACATAAGAGCGGTGGGCACTTAGTAAATCATGGGCACTAGTTCAGTGGGGCAAGTGCATATGAGCCATTGTTCACAAAGCGAGGGGCATTTTCAGAGGCGGAATAGAGCCCTCAACTTCCCTTTCAGCGTTGGCCCCCTTCGGTCCCTCCCTCTCAGTTTTGATTCTCCTCCTCCACAGTTACTGGGGACATAGACCGTGTTCTGGATCTAAGCCTTGAAAGGTACTATGTGACCCCATTTTCCTAACTGTCCTTGCTGGCTCCCCACTCTGGGAGAACGGCAGGGCCTGCCCTTCTGGGGCCTTTTCCTTGGCAAGGGTGGGTACTGGATGGGTGGGTGGCCCTGGGACAAGGAGGGCAGCTGGAGTTTGGGGTGACTGTCTACCCTCCTCTCAGCCCCAGTTCTAAAAGCTCCACCATGCCAATCTGGAAGTTTCCATGCCCTTGGCCTTGGAGTATGAAGATTTAGCCCAGATCTCTCAGGGGCAAGTGAGACCCTCAGAATCCAGCTGCCTGGGTTCATTTCTGTCTTCCCCCTCTTCGTGATTTTTTTTTTCCCCCTCTTCATGATCTTGAGTACCATCTGCTTTGCCTCGGGTTTTTCTTTCTTTCTCCCCATCCCCCACCTCATGCTGGAAATGAACAGAGGGCCTCTGCCCTGACTCCATCCCCCTTTTTACTTTTAATTTTGAGACAGGGTCTTGCTTAGTTGCCCAGGCTGGGTTGAAACCTGTGATCCTCCTGTCTCAGCCTCCTAGAGTGCTGAGATGGCAAGCATGCACTGCTATGCCCAGCTTTGCCTCAGTTTTAAAATCTGCCAACAAGGCTAATGACAGTACCTGCCTTGTGGGTCTTGTTGGTGGAATAAATGAGCTCAAAACTGTCTTGGGCTCAGGATGGGGACAGCCCACGATATTAATTCCCCGCTGCATGGGAAGTTCCATGAGGACTTTGGGGTGGGTCCTCAGGGTCTGGGGTGTCATCAGACACCCAGTGTTTGTGGAGTAAATAGATACACCTCACCTCCCTAGCCCCTGCCCCTTGTGTGGTACCCTTGTTCCAAGCTCACACAGAAAGGGGCCGGGGATTTAGCTCAGTGGTTATGCCACCTGTCTTGAAAGCGCAAGGACCCGAGTTCGATCCCCAGTACCAAAAAAAAAAAAATCTCACACACAGGAAGCCCGTAATGGTTATTATGGTAATAAAAGCAGCACAGACCCTTCAGGCTAAAACCCGAGGGGCGAACCCTCATGACCCATGGAATCCCTTCTGACCTAAAAAGTTTACTTTCCCTCATCCTTGCCAACTTACTTTCTGCTCTGAAACAGGTTCACCTGGGCAAATCTCTCATTTCTCTACTCTAGCATCCCTGAGGACAATGAAGGAGGAAAAGGAAAGCCCTCATAAGGCCTTCAGGGGCAGGCGGAGAAGTGGCACCTTGCAAAGGTTCCCGGATCTCTGAGGCCAAGATGGTATCTTTGCTGCTGCCCGTGCCAGCTGTGGACACTAGCTGGGTGGGAGGGAAGCAGGCCAGCCCCACCTTCAGCTCCTGGGGAGGATGGACCCCACCTGTTCCTTCTTTCAGTAGTGGCCAGGCAGAAAAGCCCAGCAGCTCCTAAAACTGAACGCGTCATTGCTGAGCGGCTGCTCCATCCCTTTGCCTGCATGGGGCGTAAAGGTGAGCAAATGGGTGCCCTGCCCTCCCGATGGGGTGGAAGACAGATCTCAGCAAGACTAGGGATCCCTTTTGCCAAGGATCGCCCAGAAGTGTGTGGATCCAGTGAGGGGCGGCAAGGAAGAAGGATGTAGGATGAATCTCATTTAACAAGGCCGGGAGAAAGTCACACGTCTACGGCAGCTCTCATCTCCTGGGCCTCTGTCCAAGCCCTTCAGTCACTTGGGACACCCGTCTCTGCCATGCCTGCTCAGTGACTGCACCCATATGTCAACCCCCGCTGTGTCTTCCCTGAGATGCGCTGGACCCTTTCTCTGGGTCCTGCAGCAGCACAACACATAATTCTGTCTCATGCTTCCCCACTGAGGGTGGGGGACGTGATGGCAAGGGCTTGTGCTGGAATCCTGGCTCCTCCGGGCTGTTTGGAGGATTAAATGAGATAATATGCATATGGTGCTGGGCACAGTGCCGAGCATAGCGCACGGGCTTGAGCAATACTCGCTTCTGATGTCAGCTCTCCTCTCATGCCAGCCAGAGGGAACTTAGATTCAGGGCAGGGGCCACATTTTACATTCCTTTGTACTCAGCACCTGACTCAATTCCTGGGATGGAGTGGGGCTTCCACCATAACAACTGGTGTCTACATTCTACAGGAGGAAATAGCAGCATATGCCCCTCCTCATCCCCCTGCACAGACACAAAGATGGGATCAGACTGCCTGGATGCGGCTCAGAAGCCCTCTGCAGAGTTCACAGTCCATCCTGGGCAGCCCTCCCACCCCTCTGTGCAAAGTCCCCTCCCAGGAGGCTCTGGAGTTTGCTTCCCGTGAGCCCTGTGACCTTCAGGGTCTTTTCAGCAAGTCAACAGGACAACCTCTTCCTACATGATGTCAGGGGTCTACGTGGGACATCGGGGCGACCAGCAAGCAGTCCTCATGCCCCAGTCCTCAGTTCACCCAGGATGGCCACAGATTCCATAACAGCTCATCTCTCATCTTTCCAGCCCTGACTCAAGTCGGCTTCCTACAAGACAGCTCAACCCAAGAGATGGCCCTTCTCCAGTGAGGACAGGGACTGTGGGCCAATGATTCTGCTAACGCCCACAGGTGACTGTCCTCCTCGTCTCTACAGGGCCCTTCTACATGGTGACTGGGTTCAGAGCCACAGCCTAACCCTCCCTTGCAGTACAACGTGCTATTCCAAGGGCTCATCCCTCCATTCCCCAGATGGGGAAGCTGAGGCTCTGAGCCAGGATGAGCTTTCTCCTAAGGCTTCCCAGAATCTGGGCTTTTATCTGGGGCTTTCTGGGCACTCGTGTTGTTAGAAGGATCCCAAACAGTGCCCAGGCTGTGCTGCGCTGCATTGATCTGGATCTCTCTTTACACCCTGCAGTCTTAAACCACAGCATCTAGTCAGTTCTGGGATCTGTCTCGCCTTATCCTTTGTGCCAGGGCCAAGCCACCTGCGAATCTTTCCAAACCACCCACAGTCAACCGCAGAGGCCCAGGACAGCCCACAGGTGGGACCCCAGGCCGAGAGCTGTGGCATAGCAGGAAACCAGGCAAGAAGAGAGCCAATTCAACCCAGAAAGAGGCAGGGACATGGGGAACTCGGTCACAGCCTGGCTGGGGGGAGAAAACCAAGCAGAACGCTCCCTCATGTTCCACCCCAGCCTCTTCAGCACATTCTTCCCTTCTGAAAATATTCCTCAACAAAGAGCTATGCGCTTCTGGCAGGTCCTGACCCAGCCCCAGAGGATCCCAAATGCCAGGGCAGCAGGAAGTTGTTCCATTATGGCCGAATGCAGAGGTGGTGGGTGAGAGCACTCATGAGTGCTGTCAGGGGCCGGTCCTGAGAAGCAGCCCGGCTGCCTGTACACTGTCACAGAGGCCAGCAGGTGAATGGGGCCAGCATGCTGGTCTTACCAGTCTGGCTGACTTCCCAATTGGGCCAGGAGCAGACCTCATGCCTTCCCACCAGGGAAGGTGGCATAGATCAGGGGCTGGGCAGTGGCTCCTGCTGGGATGCTTTAGGGTAGGAGAGTATGTCCTTCCCTTTGAAAAGGGCAAAGCAGGGAGAGGATGATAATGGGAAGAAGGCTGGGGTCAGAGCCCAGAGGGTCCCTGGGAGATTCTGGGGCCCCAACACACACTGGTGCCCAGTGTGGGCACGCTGACTCAGGGAGGCCAGGGTGGAGGGGTGGCCAGTCACCTCCAGGTCTCCCAAGTCCTTGCCTGAGCTGGGAGAGCTGTTGGGGGCTCTGGAAGGGCCTGGGCTAGTGAGATTCAAGGAGGTGTGTAGAGGAATGAGCAGCCTTGTTGTAAGATCCCACATGCCTGGGTCTGTGTCAGTGCTCCCAAGTTTCTGTGTGTGTGTGTGGGTCTGGGGCTTTCAGAAAGACCAGTGGGGGAGGGTGTGTCAATGGCTGGGGAGGGCAGCTGGTCTCCACTCCCAACGAGGTCCTGAGCCTGAGGTGAGGACAGATTTCTCAGAGAGGTGAGATCCAGATAAGTCAAGATAAGCAGCCCGTGTGGGGAGCTACCGGAGTGTGCTGGGAGGATCCAGAGGAGTGATTTTTCAGGGGTGCCCTTGGGCATGGGGGACTGGCATAGGAGCTGGGTCAGAAGGCTGAGCTGAGGCCTGTGAGTAGGGGTGGGCACCCCGATTTAAGAGGATAGGCAAGGGTCCTGTGGGGTCAGGAAGGACAGGTGAGGTTCTGAGGTCAGTCTCCTTGGGGGAAAGGAGGGGACAGGCAGGGGGAAGAGAGGATGCCAATTTCGGGGGTTGGGGGGCACGGTGTTAAGGCCCGTGCAGACGGAGGGATCCTGGGGGATGGATGGAGTGGAGGAGGGGCAGGGTCCTGGACTTGGGGGGGCGTTGTGGGGGGCGGGTCTGTGGGAGTGGGGGATGGGAGAGCCCTGAAGGGGGTCCTGGAAGAGGTTATGGGGGTCAGTGTGAGGAATGAGCGGGGGTCCCGGGGGTGCGGGGCCTTCCAGGGAGAGGGTAGCGTGGGGGAGGGGGCACTGCGGGGCGCCCCGGGAGAGCCCGGAGGGATCTGGGAGGAGGGTGGGCGGGGGCCCGGGCCCGAGGAGCCCGGGCCGGGGCTGAGGGTGCCGAGGCTCCAGGGCGGGCTCCGGGGCGAGGCGGCCCGAGTCGCGGTCTGGCCGATCCCCGCGGGCCGCAGCGCGGAGCCGCCGGCCTCAACAGGCGTCCATCCTGGAGGCCCGGGCCGTGCCGCCTTACCTGAGCCAAGCGTGCCGCCATCGCCGTGCAGAGCCTCGCCGTCCCAGGTCGCGTCGCCAGATCCCTGCCGCGCCGCTCGCCCAGCAGCCCCGGCCCGGCCCCCTCAGCCGCCCCCCGGGACCGCGGCCGCCGCCGGGTCCACCGCTGCCATTTCACCCGCTGACAGGAGCCGCTGCCCCGCCCCCGAAGTCCCGTCAGCCAATTCACCGCCCCCGGACACTCTGGCTCCGCCCACCCCCTAGGAGTGACGGAGTGTCTGATCAATCCGTAGCCACTCCGTGAGGAGGGCCCTGGATACGGTTAGAAGGTTGCAGCCTCCGAGTAGAGAAGCGAATTGAAATGAGGAATATAGTGACGGACAGGTCAATTTACCTATCAGAATGAGGGATTCTATTGATGAACACCTTGTAGGACCAATAGAAAGGCACGAGGGTGTGTTTCTGAGGGAAGGCTGCGGCCCTGAGGAACCGTAGGCACAGGCGGCCAAGCGTTTGGCACTAAGCCCCGCCCAGGGCCGGGCTTTCTCTCCAATAACGAGACAGCCTGAGATGTCCATTATTATCTGCCCCTCAAACCTGGCCCGGCAACTGTGGCGGTGCCATGAAGATTGACATATAGCAAGCCAATTAAGTTGAAGTAGAGCGGGGAATTGACAACCTCTGATAGACGGAATAGGGAGATTGGTGAGAGATTGGCGTCCTGGGCGGTGGGGCTTGAAGCCTGGGTTGAATGAAATGGGGTGGGGCTAAGAGAGGGGCGTGGCCTAGCCCAACGATAGGGCGGGATCAGGCCAGGGACAGGCTCATGGGTGGGGTCTGAGAAGGGGCGTTGCCAGCATGCGCAACCTCTGGGCGGGCCTCGGTGTTGTGGGCGGGGCGGTTGGGGTGGGGACTAAAGCACAGACTGCGGTCCTCCGCCCTAGTCCTGGCCAGGTTAAGTATCTTCAGTGAAGGTCGCAGGATGCGGCATGGTGATCAAAGCACGGATCGCGCTGTGTTCACTGTTTACAACCTTCTCTCCCCTTCCTGCCAGGCTGATAACTGCCCCTTCCGGTATGGTTGGGGTTGGGGAAGAAGGGCCCATATCAGATCTCCCCTGGAGGCTGAGGCGGGAGGATTGCCTTGAGTGAAGAGGCCAGCCTGGGCTACACAGTATGAAGCCATCCTGAACTACATAGCGAGACCCTGTCAAAAATGCAAAAAAATTTGATGAATGAATGAGTGCACCCATGATTCTTTTAATAGGCAAGGAAGGGGTGGGGATCACTTTAACCGAGGGAGGGGCCATTTAGGGGTATTCACTGACAACTCACAAGATTTAGCAAAATGGATGTTTCACCCCACGATGCAGGGGGGCTTTGGAGAGGGAGGGGCGGGAAGGACTGTGTCACAGAAGACAGTGTGACATAAGTTCAGAGCGGATTCTGAAAATGGGGAGACATTTAAACATAAGGTCTCTAGGATGGGTCTTGTCAGGACCTTCAAGGTCTGATATCCTATGGGTTCTGTCTGGTCTTTGAGCTGCAGCTGATAGCCATGCATGCTCGTGGCCTCTGTCCATCTCTGTAAGAACTTCCTTCTCTCCTTCCTATCTGTATTATACCTATTAACTTCTAGAGCTATTGAGAAAACCCCCAAAACATTTCTAAAAACTTTGGTGGTAAAAATGAATATAATACATTCCTCCTCCCCTCTACACTCCAATACCACCTTCCTCCATTTTTTCGGTGGGTTTTTTTTTGTTTTTTTTTTTGGCTTAAATTCTTTTATTGGTACATTTTAGGCATATAATACGTTTACATTTATCATTGGGTGCTTGTACCTGTACATGATGTATCTTGATTCTTATTTTTTCCCCATTCCCTGTGTACCCTTCACCCCTCCACCCTTCCCTATTTACATAGACTTCATTTCCTTTTTCTTTTCTTTTCTCATAATTTTTCCTTTCCATTCTTTCCTTTCCCCATCTCCTCCCACCACCCCTACCCCTTTGGACCTTTTCCTATTTCAAAGTATCAATTATTAGTTATTAATCCTTTTAATCCTTATTTACACTCTCACACTAGAGAAACTATTCGGTGTTTACACATGTGTGTCCTATCTATTTCACTTAAGAGGATGGCCTCAATATGCATCCATTTAGCTATAAATGACTCTAGTTTCTCGTTCTTTATGGCTGAGTAGTACTCCATTTTATAAAAAAACCACATCTTTTAGCCAGTTTCCAGTTGATGGGCAATTGGACTGTTTTCAAGCTTTAGCTATTACAAACTGTGCCGCTATAAACATTGATGCACATATATCTCTGTGGTATGATTCTTTTAATTCTTTTGGGAAAATACCCAGTGGTGTTTGTTTTTAAAGAACAAATATGTCCTTTTAAAGACAGTTTATGTGCTGGGTTTCCATCACAGAGTACTAGGCTAAAGTGACTCTCAGTGGCACTGATTCCTAAGTGGACCTGGCTGGAGGCCATGGACTCCCCCAAGGGCAGTTAGTGATGCATGGTATTAAATCAAGAGGGAGGGAGTGAAGCCAGACTGCATAGAGGTCAAATGAGCAGTTAAGGTGACAATTCCCGAGCTGGCGATACTCTAGGGACCCTCAGTGTCGGGGTCTGAGGAGCAAAGTCTTGGAGTTCACCATCAGTATCTGAGGTTCTTCCCAGAAATGATGCCCTCAGGAAAGAATAGATTGGGGAGAGCAAAAACCTTCCAGAAGAGAAAACCCGGGACCTCTGGTCCTCCTCAGGATGTGGAGGTACATGCAGAGGCTCAGGACCCCAGAAAGAGGTCCTGACCAGTTAGATTCTGGGTCCTTGCCTGGAAGATAAGCAGCAGCTGGTGCCTGGGAATAAAATTCCACTGAGGACTATGCCCAGGACATTTGACCTTCTCCTTCTCACATTATGATGTCCACATAAAGGATGGTTTTATTCTGGAGACTATTTGATTCCATTTTTATAGGCACAAATGGAAAAAACCCCAACAAATTTCTGTAGGAACAGAGTTGTTTCAATCATAAACTGTACTGAGCCAATTAAACTCCCAGATTGCTTTTTTTCATTCAATGCAGTGAGTAGAATCTTTTTCAATTTTTCCCATTATTTTAGTTAATAGACTCCCCCCACCACCACCACTATACTGGGGGTTGAACTCAGGAAGCACTGAGTTGCTTCACAAGTCCTTTTAATCAGTTTTTATTTTGAGACAAAGTCTTGCTAAGCTCTGAACTTGAACTTCCAGTCCTCCTGACTCAGCCTTGGAGGGGGTTGGGATTACAGGCACGCATGACAATACACAGTAGAAGTCTTTCTTTAACAGGGCAGCATCTGCTAGGTTGCCTAGGCTGGCCCTGAACTCCTGGGCACAAGGGATCCTTCTGCCTCAACTTCCAGAGTAGCTAGATTGCAGGTGCACTCACCATGCCTGGCTCATCTCTAGACGTCATTTTTTGGGGGACCTTGTGCTTGCCAGTCAGGTGGTGGCACCACTGAGCTAAATCCCTGGCCCTCTAGAAGTCATTTTTGCCAGAAGTATATTTCCCTCATGCAATATATATAGTAAATATTAGATGTATTCATTAAACTTAAAGACCAGAATACATGCATTTTGTTAAACTCTCATCTTGGGGAGGGAATGATCCATTTCACCAATTTACTATTTAAAAATAATTTAAATTTTTTAATTTACGGGATATAGTGTGAAAATTTGATGTAAGCATATAGTGTATAAGGATGAAATCAGGGTGATTAATATTTCCATATCTTTTTTGAGACAAGGTCTCACTATGTAGTCCAGACTTTTCTTGAACCCCTGGCAATCCTGTTGATCCTCCTGTCTCTTTCTCCCAAGTGCTGGGATTACAGGTGTGCAACCACCATGCTCAGCTATTTCCATCTCTTAAAACATTTATCATTTCTTTGCGTTAGGATCTTTCAAACTCCTCTCTTCCAGTTCTTCTTTTTGGTACCGGGGATCAAACTCAGGACCTCGCACTTGCAAGGCAGGCACAGTGCCACTGAGCTAAATCCCCGGCCCTCAGTTCTTTATAAAATATACAGTTAGAGTTCAAGGCCAGCCTGGACTACATACTGAGACCTTGTTTAAAAGAAAACAAAACAGGGCTGGGGATTTAGCTCAGTGGTGCCACCGCCTGCCTCAAAAGCACAAGGTCCTGAGTTCAATCCCTGGTACCAAAAAAAAAGAAAAAAGTAAAACAAAACAAAACCACACCAACTCATATATATATAATTACAGGCATGGTGGCACACACCTGTAACCTCAGCACTGGGGAGGCTGTGGCAGGAAGATCTCCAGGAGTTCAAGGCTAGCCTGCACTACAAAGTGAGATCCTGTCTCAAAAAACAAAAACAAAAAAGTTGTAAATTATGGTTACCCTACTGCCTTAGAACATTAGAATGTATTCCTTCTAACTGCTTTCTTTTGTGGTACTAGGGATTGAACCTAGGGGCACTCACTGAGTTGGCCAGGATGGCCTTGAACTTGCAATCCCCCTTCCTCAGCCGCTGGAGTAGCTGGGATTATAGTTGTGTACCATCATGAGTAGCTGTAATTGTATTTTGATACCTGTTATGTACCTTCCCTCTATCCAGTTCCCCTACTTGGGCTATTTTGGTCCAATATTTATAAACTGTAGGAACTTCTGGGAAGATGGTGGAATGGTGAACACTAGAGAAAAAGCCTCTTTGAGGTTTGGTGTCCAGATGCTGGAAGAAAGCAATGTGAGGAAGAGAAGAAGGAGAGAAGTGGGTCCCTGGGACCCAGCAAGGATCTGAAGTGAGAATTGAAGTCCATGGGGAGAGCAAAGGGAGACTTCAACAAAGAAGAAGGAGGTGGCAAGAGGCACTTTTTCCCTGAGCCCTGACTCACCACATGGGAAGGGTGGCTTGAACCTGCAGACACATGGTGACTACTGGTGACGCCAGAGGCCTGCACAGAGAAATGCACCAGTAGAATGGAATAGTGGATGCAGCAGACTGCAGTGTCTGGTGAGTTATTCAGGTTCAGACACCCCCTAGGAGAGGGCAGTTGGCTAGTAGCCATTTGGAGAGGGGCCAACTGAGCTTGGAACACAGAGAAGAAGCAGGTTGGCTCCATCAGGGTGAGGTGGAACTGAATTCAAGTCAGCAGGAGGCACATGGAATGTTGCAGGCTGAACAAATCAGGTTATAGCTTCACAGCCAGAATCCACCCTGAGCTTCAGAATTAAAGGTGTAGGCTTGCTGGGATTACCCACTCCTCTACCATAAATCTATAGCTGGCTTGTTGGGATTAATCAACATGGATCTGAACTCTGCTCTTTTTGTCTACCAGTGACAGCAGAGACATGTCTTTGAGTGGACATTTTTTTCTTCTTTACTTATTTTTTTCTTGATTATTTGTTCTTGTTTTTAGATAAGTATAAACATTGTTTCTGGGTTTTTTTTGTTGTTATTCTGTTCTGTTCTTGTTTTTATTTCTTCCTTCTCTCTTTCCCACTTTTTCCCTTTTTTCTTTTTGGTACCAGGAATCAAACTTGGGACCTTGCACCTTTGAGGCAGGGGGCAGAACCACTGAGCTAAATCCCCAGCCCTCTCTTTCCCTCTTATTTTCTTCACCATTTTCTCAAAATTGCATAATCTTTCTTTGTCTTCCAGCATTTCTTCTAATCTTCTTCTTCTT